GTTTGTGTCTGTGTGTGTCTGTGTGTCTGGTGTGTGTCTGTGTGTGTGTGGTGTCTGTATGTCTGTGTGTGTCTGTCTGTCTGTGTCTGGTGTCTGTATGTCTGTGTCTGTGTGTGACTGGTGTGTGTCTGTATATCTGTGTGTCTTGTATGTCTGTGTGTCCGGTGTCTGTGTGTCTGTGTGTGTCTGTATGTCTCTCTGTGTCTGTGTGTCTGGTGTGTGTCGGTGTCTGCGTGTGTCTGTATGTCTCTCTGCGTCTGTATGTCTGTGTGCCTGTGCATGTCTGGTGTCTGTGTCTGTCTGTCTGTGTGTGTCTGGTGTCTGTGTCTCTGTGTCTGGTGTCTGTCTGTATGTCTGTGCATGTCTGGTGTCTGTGTGTCCCCACCCTGGGGGTGTCTGGTGTCTGTGTCTCTGTGTCTGGTGTCTGTCTGTATGTCTGTGCATGTCTGGCATCTGTGTGTCCCCACCCTGGGGGTCACAGGGGGACACCGAGCCCCGACGCCACCAGAACCGTCCCCCTGCAGCCACAAGGTCGCCAGCGGAAAAGCGGAGAAAACTTGGAGGCGTCGTTTGAAAAAATGAGGATTTTTATCCTCTCCTGGCCCGTCCCGGCTGGCTGTGTCGGGTTTTGGGTGTGGGCGATGGGCTGTGCGGGTGAGCGGCTGCATCTCTGCAGGTGGCTGAAAGGCAGCCGTGGTGGCGCTTGGCCTCTTCTCCCTGGGGCACAGACAAGAGGGAGCGGGTTCACGTTGCGCCAGGGGAAGTTTAGGTTGGATGTTAGGAAAAACTTCTTCACCAGAAGGGTGGTGAAGCACAGGAATGCGTTGCCAAAGGAGATGGTGGAGTCCCCATCCCTGGATGTGTTTAAAAACCAGTTGGATGTGGCACTTCAGGAGGTGGTTTAGCGTGAGGGTGTGTAGGGCCGTGGGTTGGATTTGATGATCTTGAGGTCCTTTCCAGCCCTGGTGTTTCTATGATGCTGTTCTTCAGCTTTGCAGAGGTCGGGCAGCGTCCCAGGAACAGGGTTTTGTGGCAAAGAGGTGATGGTTTTTTCATGACAGAGCTCGAGGTCCCACACCCTGGCACCGAACAACCGAGGTTTCCGCTAGGCACCCGCTCCCTGGGGGGTTCCAGGGTGTCTCTGGACATCTCTCTCCTCTCACCTTGCTCCTTTTAGCAACTTTTTGCAACTTTTTCCTTACGTGTCATCGCTCCTGATTGTTTTTTTCCCCCCATCTTGTGGCTGAACGCCCGCTCACCTTCCGGTTCCGCTGCCGGCCACCAACTCCAGAGCCCTTCTCTGGTTCATAATTCCTCTGTTATCACAGAATCTGAGAACGTTGGAAGGGATCTCTGAAGATCATCCAGTCCAAACTCTCCATCTGTAGCTTGAATGTCCTGGTCAGACCAACTCTTAACTTTATTTTTTAATCTGAAAACGTTGCAGAATGAGTTACTGGAAATGAGGACAGGCTGCTGCTCGCAGGCACTGAAAGGATTGGGGCCCCTTTGCCCCCCAGGCCGACACCCAAGAAGTGACGCGATGGTAGGCAGAAAGGAAATCCCCTCTTCCTTTTTATCTTCTCAGCGTTAGAACAGACGGGTGGATGGTGACAGCGTTGAAAGGCAACGTTTGAACCACTATTTTTTTTCTATTTTATCGACGTTTTAGGGTTTTTTCTGCTGGGCAGCTGCTCAGGTGGCAGGTGTGAGGAGGAGTTAACGTCGTTAGTAAGGGAGAGAGCTCAATGAAACTCACCTGGGAACCCCCCCAGGATCGTAGCCGCTGTGTTGATCTCCATGAGTGCGCACATCAGGTGTGGAAATTCTCATAGTGAAGCTTTTCTGTGATAACGAGAGGCTCGAGGGCCGCATCAGGGAGAAGTCAGGAGGGAGGATGGTGCTTGCAGGTTCCTGGGGGTGATACCCAGTTCTGGGTCAGAGACATTGGACCTCAGCGCCTTTGACGCTGAGGTTTTAAACAAAACGGAGCCTTTTGTCCCGTTTCTCCCAGGGTGAGCATGAGGAAGGGGGAAAAATCCCCGGGGAGAGCCGTAACCACCTCGCCGCAGCCCCCGGCCGCCAGTTATCTCAGCCCCTCGTGGCATCGAGGTGAACTCAGGCACCGATCCCAACTTGTCTTGGGTTTTTCGGGCGAGGAGCTCATGATGTGCATCCTCGGACAGCGCCGCTCCCTTCGACCCCGCCGAGGGTGCGCAGCGGGAGCTGGTTTCCCAAGCAGGCGGGTGGAGCAGCGGCGCCTGATTTGGCTTTTGCCCTCCCTGGATCCGTTCCCAGTTTGGCTCATCCCCTTCGGTCAGGGAAGGAAACGGATCTCGGACACAAACGGAATAAGGGCAAGGAACCAGGATGGCATTTCCAGTGTGCTGTAGAGTGGGTGAGGGGTTTTTTTATCCAGATATTTAGGGTTTTTAAGGTTTGGAGTTGGGGGTTTCAGCGTGCAAAGGTGATCTGGGCTGCTCCAACATGATGTTAAACTGCAGAACCGACGGAGGTTTTTGGAAGGGGTTGAGTTTCCTGAGATTTTTGCTTCCTGGGCAAAGCTCGGGTGCGAAGCCGAGGCGAGTCTAATCAGGGAGCAATAAAAATCGTCGTTCGTCTGCAAAGTGCCTCCTACAAATTACCAAAAATAGCCCCTGAGCACATCAAACCCTCGTGATTTCTCCGGCCCTGCTGCGCGGAGCTTTCTGAGCGCGGAAGGCGGCACCATTTGTCCTGCTGGGAAAATCCTCCCCGGTGTTCTTCCTTTGCAAACCCCGCAGGGTCACGCGTTTGCAGGGGTTTAGATTTTGATACAAACGCTGATACTTCTTTTAATTTTTTTTTTGCTCTTGAGGGCTGTATTTTGGGACAACCCGTGGGCGTTCGGTTAAAAGGCACCTCGCGTTTTGTGGAGTTTGGGGGAAGTTGGCGGCGAGTTAATTGCAGAGATGGTGTTTTTTGGGAGTGAAACTTTCTCCGTATGCGATCCGATGCTGCTGGAGGTGTCCGACCTTCTCATGCCCTGCCAGGAATGATTTTTGGGAGCCAAATCAATCCGTGGGCGGAAGATCTTCTGCTGGCGCTCACAGCCGACGGGAGGAGGCTCCCTCCGCCCGCCACGCACTTGTGCGCGCTCCGGCGGATC